TCCGTGACTGCTATATGCAGTGTACTCTCTCATCCTGCTGCTGTGACTGTTATATACAGTGTACTCTCTCGTCCTGCAGCTGTGACTGTTATATGCAGTGTACTCTCTCGTCCTGCAGCTGTGACTGTTGTATACAGTGTACTCTCTCGTCCTATAGCTGTGACTGTTATATGCAGTGTACTCTCTCTTCCTGCGGCTGTGACTGTTATATGCTGTGTACTCTTTTCCTGCAGCTGTGACTGTTGTATACAGTGTACTCTCTCGTCCTGCGGCTGTGACTGTTATATGCAGTGTACTCTCTCGTCCTGCTGCTGTGACTGTTATATGCAGTGTACTCTCTCATCCTGCGGCTGGGACTGTTATATGCAGTGTACTCTCTCTTCCTGCAGCTGTGACTGTTGTATACAGTGTACTTTCTCGTCCTGCGGCTGTGACTATCATAGACAGTGTACTCTCTCGTCCGTGACTGCTATATGCAGTGTACTCTATCGTCCTGCAGCTGTGACTATTATATGCAGTGTATTCTTTCATGCAGCTGTGACTGTTATATGCAGTGTACTCTCTCGTCCTGCGGCTGTGACTGTTGTATGCAGTGTACTCTCTCGTCCTGCAGCTGTGACGGTTATATGCAGTGTACTCTCTCGTCATGCAGCTGTGACTATCATAGGCAGTGTGCTCCCTCGTCCTGCAACAGTGACTCCATCATAGGCAGTGTACTCTCTCGTCCTGCAGTGTACTCTCTTCCTGCAGCTGTGACTATCATAGGCAGTGTACTCTCTCTTCCTGCAGCTGTGACTATCATAGGCAGTGTACTCTCTCGTCCTGCAGCTGTGACTCTATTATATGCAGTGTACTCTCTCGTCCTGAGTACATGGAGTTAACTGGTGCAGGTCTTAGTGCCAGCCTCAGCCCAAAGCCTCAGCTCTTCCAGATCTCTGCAGCATACTTCTCATATTAAAAGAAAACAAGTTACTCAAAGAAGACACATGGTTTGTGTTTGTGATGACAGTGGTTCTGTGCTCCACCTGTTTGGGCTTTCACTGGAGCCCGTGCAGCCGCCATCACCCCGGGAGAACTGCTCTCATAACCACACAGGCTCCGGGTGAAACCTTTCTCTGGGCTCCCGAGACTAGAGGTGGCAAACTCCTGCTGGTCAGGGGCCGAATCACAATAGGAACTGGTCTGAAAGAATAACAGGGTTTCTCTTCTCTATCTTTGGGCATTACTTGTATGTGACATGCATTTAACTATTTTCTGGTTGATTTTTCTGAAGACAAAATGTGTTGCGTGGCCTTGGTCCTCATTCTACAGCCCGAGTCCTGGATCTACAGCCTCAGTCCTGGATCTACAGCCCGAGTCCTGGGTCTACAGCCTCAGTCCTGGGTCTACAGCCCGAGTCCTGGGTCTACAGCTCGAGTCCTGGGTCTACAGCTCGAGTCCTGGATCTACAGCCTCAGTCCTGGATCTACAGCCTCAGTCCTGGATCTACAGCCCGAGTCCTGGGTCTACAGCCCGAGTCCTGGGTCTACAACCCGAGTCCTGGATCTACAGCTCGAGTCCTGGATCTACAGCCTCAGTCCTGGGTCTACAGCCCGAGTCCTGGGTCTACAGCCAGAGTCCTGGGTCTACAGCCTCAGTCCTGGGTCTACAGCCCGAGTCCTGGGTCTACAGCTCGAGTCCTGGGTCTACAGCTCGAGTCCTGGATCTACAGCCTCAGTCCTGGATCTACAGCATCAGTCCTGGATCTACAGCCTCAGTCCTGGATCTACAGCCTCAGTCCTGGATCTACAGCCCGAGTCCTGGGTCTACAGCCCGAGTCCTGGGTCTACAACCCGAGTCCTGGATCTACAGCTCGAGTCCTGGATCTACAGCCTCAGTCCTGGGTCTACAGCCCGAGTCCTGGGTCTACAGCCAGAGTCCTGGGTCTACAGCCTCAGTCCTGGATCTACAGCCTCAGTCCGTTCATGGGAGCAGATTCCTCTCTCAGTGTGGGCCTTTCAGAGCTGTTCCTGATGCAGGGTCTAAGGACAGCGGTGATGATTCAGGACACTCCACATTCAACATTTATGGACTTCGGTCTCTGCCTCTGATGGACCAATGGCTCTGTGTGTTTTTCATCATTGCTTTTGCTCAGTGTGTATAAGCTTCACATGTGAGCTGCTGCCCATCATAAAACAGATCATAGGATAATAGACCTCTGCTCCTTGTGAACAGACAGCACAGGGACCAGCACAGGGACCAGCACAGGGACCAGCAGAGCTCTCAGTGATATAGGGGTCATGGTGACGGCTCGTTCATTATGTGGATCTGTTATAGTCTCTAAGTGTCATATCTGTCAACAGAGATTTGTGGTGATGTGAAGGTGTGAGGGCCTCCACACCTGGGCCCCTGAACATACGCTTCTGCTACATGTGTCTTTTAAACGTTATGGTTCTGTGATGTCTAAATACCAGCAGAGCACAGAGCTGCTCATGACGCTTCAGGGACTCTGAGCTAAACATCTGCAGTGATACAGGTGCATGAGGTAATCCCAGTCTATGGTCTGCAGCGGTTACAGCTCCACCTGCTGGTTCAGGTGGGCACTGACCTGGATCTGAAAATGTTCAAATAAAACAGTTCTGTTAAACTGTGCACACAGCTGAAGGATGGTATCTTTACTTTAACACACGGTTAGTATTGTATTATTTAATTCTGTTAACACTTATGCTTTCCATGGGGGAAAATTGACCTGCCAGTGATTAAGTATCCCAAATATTTTCACTCAATTAGACCCTTTCAGACTAAAGGGTATTTTGCTTCTATTTTCAATCATCTGTGGAGGGTCTTTTTGACTCACCACAGATGGTTTAAAACGCCTTTTGTATAAACTGTGCTATACAAATAAACTTGCTCTAAACCTTTGGTAGTTTCTAAAACAGACTAATCTAACAATATAAACTTTTACATGAGTTTGGATTTTCTCTGGTAACAGTTCAGTTCTGTTTGGATTGAACCAGAGTCGGGTCAATGTAAACTCTTAGATCTAAATAAAGTGGTTTTAAATTAGCTCTAACCATCAACGCTAAAGTATCTCTAAAATAAACTGCCCCTGGGAGATTTTAACTTAATTGAAATCTATTCAAATGGGATTTTGTGATGAAAACATGTAAACTCCAACTGCTCCTTATGTAGAAATACAAATGTACACAAACAAGGATAGTAAAGGCAATTAAGGTATAAGTTTAATAATTTTCAAAGAATGCATTAAAGAACAAAGACTTTTTGACAAAGCATTGGGTTTTCACCTAAAACAATGACAGGTTTTCATAATGATACTGCCTCAGGCTGGAGCTCTGCTGAACTCTGTCTCAGTAAGACCTTTATCAGACTGAAACCATAGGAAACTGGGCCGACCGAGTTCTGCTGAGACCCGACCTCAAAAAAGAGTCAAAGAAACCTTTCTTATATATTTATATATATTTATAAAATAAAAAACAGCACAAACAAAAAGGGAGGGAAAAAAGGTTTTGGTAAAAACACTTGAGCCTACATCAACATTTTGTGCCAGCGTACATTATAATTACATCTGTAAATCCTACCATGAAATCCGAGACCAAGGCAGCGCTCGTCAGTGTGCGGAGGGAGCTCTAAAACAAGGCACCACATTCTGCGCTGGCACAGAATGTGGTGGAGTTCAGTTCATATAAAACATTAAACTATCACTGATGCTCTGCTTGTGCTGCGTGTGTTCAGAGATCCTACTCTTGAACCTTCCGTTTCAGAGCCTTTCCCTTCGCTGCCGGCGAAGCACCAACACACTGCTTGATCTGCTAACACTGTTTGAAGTTCCCTGCAGCTAAAAGGCCAATTGTGTGGTTACCGCGTGGGCCCATTGGTTTTAATGCATTTAGATAAAGTACACTAAAGCTCACCGCACACCGAAACGCAGCGCCTCGCGGCGCGTCATTTGACGCGCGTTCATGACATGTGTCAAATTACACCGGAACGCCTTGGCTAGCGTCCTTTTCCAGCTGATCGCAGATGAAATGGGTGAGTGACGTTTGGAAGTTTCTACTAATATTTTGGGGGAGGAAACAAAGTATTTACGTGAAATTATGCTGGCAAATATTACAAGAAAAGACTATTTGGACCCATTTTTTAAACAGGCTAATAACTAGCTCTGGGTAACGCTGTACTTGGGTTATCAAGCTTTCCTCGTCCATTGTGACCGGTTTACTTGAGCAATAGCGCCGACAAGTGTGTAAATTTGAGACCGCGCTCACAGCTACGTGATAAGAAGCGCAGAAGAAGAAAACTACGGGTGCTTGGAGGGACAGTTTCAGCCGCGGCGCCGCGTCTGGATTCAACAAAACTGAATCGTGGCGCCCGGTCCAGCGTCGCCGCGCGTCACTGCAACCTTGGTGTGCGTTCTCTCATAGAAAATAAAGGAGGCGGCTCTTTTGCCGCGCGTCAAGGCGTTTCGGTGTGCGTTGGGCTTAAGGACAGACCAGGCTGCTCTACCACTAAACGCAATCTAGAACGTCACCGCCTCCCGCTGTTTGGGACACGCCGTCCCCGTCTTCACAGTCCTCTGTTGGTGTTTGAGTAAGAAGAGGGAAGTGAAAGAAAATTGGCAACCAACAAAACGTAAGCATGGGGGGGGGGGGCAGCTCATTAGCAAAGGGACTGGCAGCACAGTGGGAGCAGGAAGGCTCAAAGACAATGACAAGACTGGGTTCTTCCTGTTAATGGTTCCACACACAAACTAGAATCAATGTTAGCGTTTTAAATGTGTGCTTTAAAGATCCCAAATGAGTCATTAAAACAGAGTGGATTCCTCTGTACCAAGCCCACATTTACAAACCTATTATTGCAGAGAAATGTCCAAAAAAAACTTGGTCAGGTGCTTTTCTCAGTGTTGCCAACGAGCCTTAGCAGAGCAAGAGAGGGTCAGGGGTCATTGGACGTGGTGTGTGTTTACGTGTGTGTGTTTGTGGTGCTGTAAAAAGGGGAGGAGCCTCTCATAGCAGCACACACTTGCGCTTCTTCTTGGGCTCTGGGGGCTCCAGTGCGGCCAATATCGCCTCATCAAACACATTCTTTAGGCCTTTCTGTGGACACAAACATACAAACAAACAGGCTCAATACGGTGCGGGACAACTCAAGAGCAAAATCAAGAGGTTGGGGGGAAGAACGGCGAGGGAGGGGGGGGAGTGAGGAGGTCAGCAGTGCCATCAAAGTGACAAAGAAATCATAATCAAAACATTCAAATCAGGCTGTAAGTCCATGACCAATCACGAGAGAAGACCCTGGGCAGGTAAAACATGACAGCCACAGACGATGATTGGAGACGACAGATGTGGAGATAAACAACAGAAAAAAGGAACCAGTCATGTGGGATGGCTCTAGAACCTTCTGACAATGTGGGACTGCCCTGAAAACCAGGCCGGCCGGCGAGCAGAGGCCGAGAGAGAAACTACTGCACTGTGTCTGAGAAAACACTGCACCAGGAGAACAATCGTTGAACACAGATTTATTTGTTTCACAGGAAGTCACTATGATTGTTAATGGTGCGGTGACGACATGCCCCCGGTCCACTCTCTTCAACACTTGTGCAAACCCCGGGTCAAAATTACCCACCACAAACGAATAAAAAGAGAAACACTTAAATTTGGGTCAAAAAGGGTCTAAATGACTCGGGGCTGGTCAAGGTAGAAAACGTCCAAATTCAGCTATTTTTTTTTTAAATTTAGGGTGTTCTTGAATCATTCTGGCGGGTAAACTTGACCTCAACGTTCTCAGAAATGTCCCATCAGAGCAGTCCTGTTCGAGGGTGTGTGGACTGAACATAAGAGATCCAGTCGTTTGGTTCTTCAACAGCAGATAAATGTGAAAATGGCAAAATCAGAAGACTGCAGACGTCTCATGGACTGGGAAGAATCCTCGATCAGGAAATCCATCAACACAGACGGCATAAACCAGGACGAGGGCGCGTTCCAACTCTCGCGAACGTTGGAGGCACTTCTCCAGCGGCCACCAGCCAGCAGGGGGCGCTGTCAGCCCAGGGGGACACATGGGCTGGATGTAGGAGGGTCTAAGGACAGTGATGATCTATGTGTTTGATATTATTCACTCTGCGCTATTGTTGGCCTTAAACAGCTTGTGACCATACTCGCATGCAAAAGCCAGATCCTGTCAGACCTCTGAAGCTGTGCAGGGCAGGGGCTGGTTAGTGCTGTGATGGGAGACCTCCAGGTGCCACAGTGAGGCGGCTGTAAAGTGCCAAACTATTGTTGTGTCCTTCACCCACAATAGAATGAGTCTGGTGTGTGAGTGTGAGAATGGTTGGTGGTGGGAGGGGCCGGTGGCACAGACTGGTTGCCTCCCTTCTGTCAATGCGCCCCAGGACAGCTGTGGCTAAGGTAGTAGTTCACCACCGTATTTAGAGTGAAAGAATAATGACGTGAAGAGACTTTGAAGGTCCCAAAACGCGCTAAATAAAAAACCAAGCTGTATTATTATAACTTCATACAGTCCTCCAAGAAAACTACTGTTGTGTTTTAGGATGATACAAAAATAAGTTGATTTGAATTGAATGCATGTCATCGAGGCGTGGTAAGGTAGTATTGTCGCTATCTCACATGTGTCTGGTATTGAAGAACCAAAAACGTATCAACAAATACGACAAAATGAACCTTCCTAAACTAGAGCAGCGGGAGATTTGACAGCAGCACATTCCGTGAAGTAGAGGAGGTTTTAGTGACGTTAGAAGTTCCAGCAATTTAAAATATACAGCATTTCCTGTTTGACTGAGTCTCTGGAGGCTCGAGGGCAGCCAGGATCGCCTCGTCAAAAACATTCTTCAGGCCTCGCTACAGAAGCAGAAGAAGAAGAGAGGAGGACAACACATGCAGTTAGCACACAGACAGAAAGGTGTGTAGAGAGAAATCCTGTACAAGTTTAACAGAAGAAACCCTGAAAAGAAAACAGGAAATGACAGGAGCAGCTGTGAGGCGGAGGAGGAGGAGGAGGAAGGAAGGCGTGGAGACCTCAGCTGCATCGGTGCCATAGTTCTGAGTTGCCCAGAGTAGGGAGCAGTGCACGGCTCTCAAAGGCATTCTCTGTCACTGGTTAGCCACGCTAGCTCCAGGTTTGGTCAAGTCAAATGTAATAACTTTATTGTCATCAGTAACAAACATAAGATAAACCTGGCCTCAGAACATACAGACAGTTCCTCGTGGTAAAGAGACCGGGGTTTGGGGATAAACGGTAGAAATGCTCAGAAATGCACGTCCACATCTATTGGAAACATTTGATTTGTTAGAAAGATGTTTGTATAAAGGAGGCACATTCCAATCCCACTCCTGCGGTGACGTTCTAAATGTTTTTTAGAAATCGACATCAAAAGACCTTTTAAAAAAGGTCGAGAAAACTGTTACTGATCTGTTATCGTAATGATACGAGGTGTTTTATTAAATGTTCTCCTCTACAACTAGTTATGCCTCTGGAGCTAAGCAGTGCAGGGCTTGGTTTGCACTGTGATGGGAGACCTCTTGGAACACCAGGAGCCACAGTGGAACAGCTGTAAAGTGAAAAAACTGTGGTTGTGTCCTTAGGCAAGACACTTCACCCACATTAGAATGAGTCTGGTTGGTGGTGGTGGGAGGGGCTGATGGAACATACAGATAGCCTCACTTCTGAGTGTGTCCCAGGGCAGTTGAGAGTCCAAAATAAGTACCGATGGATTACTTTTATTATTATTATTGCTGTGATGACCGTCCAGATGCTAGTTTTGTGGACTTTTAAAGCGCTTTAGTTTTATCACACAAGAGTAAGATGTTGTCATTAGCCAGAGCTCAGCGTCAGGGAGAATGCTGAACAGAACGTTTCAGGACGATTGATTTGAGCGTCGGTGGTTCTGAGTTTCTGATGACTAGACCCTGGTCGATGAGTGTCCTATCGACATGTGTTAGAACCATGTGTTAGAACCATGTGTGAGACTGGTACCTGTGTCAGGGCTGAGCACTCCACATATTTCACTGCCTTCAGGTCTCTGGCCAGCTTCTCTGCCGTCTCTGGGGTGATGGGCTTCTGCTTGTTCTTGGCGAGCTTCTCTATAGTGGAAGGGTCGTCCCTCAAGTCGATCTGTGTCCCCACTAACAGGAAAGGGGTCTTTGGACAGTGGTGAGTGATCTCTGGAACCCACTGTTTGGAACCAAAAACACAGCATTCATCACAATCAGGACTTTTTAAATTCCTCCAACATTTGTTCGTCTGAGTTTCATCAATGCGTGTACAAATTAGGGCTCTGCAATATGGCAAAAAAGTTAAATCTCAATTTTATTTCCTGCTTTGGACAATTTCAATTTTACATCGATTTTCATTAAAGTCATGAAGACAGACTTTGCCCTTAAAAATATGTCTTATGCAAGTATAATTCATGTGCTGCTGGAACTCTCACAATATCCTTCATTCCATTTCACAATTTTAACATTTTTCACAAATTAGATTTCTTCAATGATGAATTGCCTAAATTCAATTTATTGCCCAGCCCTAGTACAAATCAACAGAACTTGGCTGTGACTTTAAGCTCTTTAAACCCTTTCTTAGAGTTGTTCTTGCTGATGCAGAACAGTGGTGACATTCAAAGACATTTATTCAGTGCAATTCTTGTGTTTGAACGGTTTGATTCTCTGATCTGTGTTGGCGAATCGACGACTCCGCAACGTCCTCCGAGAAAACTACCGCTGTGATTTAGAGCTACGCAAACATAAAATGAATGAGAAAAACAAAGGGCTTGTTTTCGGTGTTATTACGGCGATAGTCAGAGCTGTTATTTTGACTCTCAAAGTTTTAATAGGAATCTTGCCAATAATCTTAAACCAGTGACCAGTTAATCAGCCAATACATTTTCTTCATAAGTTGGAAAACATTCAAAACCGGCGTCTTATATTCAGGAGTGGCCTATTTGTGGACAACATGTACTTTCTCTTCAAAACTGCAGATTTGGTTTATACACAGGAGCACTTTGGAGTCCGGCAAATGATGTATTAATAACAGCGGTCTCAGCCCATGTCTCACATCCTTAATAAATAATCACATGTTTTATATGAGTGTATTTTAATTGTTTTATTAGGCGTAATCCTAGATACAGTAACGGATCTCTTGACACCAAAAGTTGTTTCTATAACATATTTGCACAAGTCTTTTTTTTTTTTCAATGGCACAAACCAGTCTGGGCCCTTTACACCAAAGATGTCAAACTGGCTCCATTAAGGGCCGGTGTGGCTGCAGGTTTTCACTCCAACCAAGCAGGAGCACATTAGACTCCACCCATTTCCTCACGTCTTTAGGTTTAGACTGGACTCAGTTGAGGAAATGGGTGGAGCTCCTGGTTGTGCTCACGTTTGGTTGGAATGAAAACACCCCAGCTTTAAACAATGATTAAATGAATGTGACGCTTTTTACCTTTTCTTTTACGTTTTCGAAGGAGGAGGGAGAAACAACCGAAAAACAGACGAGAAAGACATCTGTCTGTGGATAACTCAGAGGTCGTAGTCTGTCGTAGTCTTCCTGACCTGCAGAAAAAACACAAAGAATGATATTCAAACAATCTTTAGACATTACAGTAGTAGTAGCAGCAGTATTAGTAGTAGTTATAGTAGTAGCAGTTTATTTTCTTCCGTCATTATGAACATTAAGATCTTGGGTCACATGTTTTTCAAAGATCTTATACATTTACAATAAAACAATTTGCATTAAGAATTTTAGTGCTAAGTAAGCAGTTTTGGTCGAACCTCTTTAACAACTGCCGTAATCTCCCGACTATAAGCAGCTACTTTTTTCTAGTTCTTTGATCCCTGCAGCTAATATGTGTATATTTACTGTGACAGAGCTGTCAGAGTTTATGAACTTACTAAACTAAACTCTTTTTAGTAGCAACAGGACACTAGTTTATTGTCAAAATAGATGAAGGTGAATACTGTTATGAATAATGTTGTGACCATTAAAAACATCTATCAGCTACATTACAATGAAAACTTGCTTATATTCAACATTGTCCACATATAGGCTGCAGGCTTATATACCGGTGTGGCTTATAGTCCAGAAAGTACGGTATATTAAGAACTATATATTTCTGCATTTGCAATTTCCACAAATAACTTCAACGTACCTGCTGTATCAAACAAGCCCAAAGTGTAGGGCTCTCCTCCGATCATTACAGTTACGGCATAGTTGTCGAAAACCTGCAGGACAGACAGACTTTAAGGTCAGAGAGAAACGGACAGACGGAGGAAAGCACTCTGTTGCGAGCGCGACTCACCGTAGGGACGTACTCCGAGGGGAACTTGTTTGTGGTGTATGAGATGAGCAGGCATGTTTTACCTACAGCACCGTCCCCCACGACAACACACTTTATGGTCTGCATAGCTGCGGTCGTCTCAACTCATTCAAGATCTGAAACATGCAGAAATATATAGAATCTGAATATATAAATACACAGGGGAAGATGTTCTGTTCGGGGAAGTAGACAACAGACATTGAAAAGAGCCTCAACCACTGTCAACCCATTACAGCTGAAAATGGTCCCATCATTCTGTCTTTTATCTATTTTATAAGAATAATGTGAGAAAGTGCCATATAGAGCCACATGTGTCCACTGTCACCTCACTTTGTCCCATAGCCTCATGCTGCTAACATGTACAGATCTATGCATATACAGGGTAAGGGTTATTTCTTGCACTAAAATCAATATTAACATTTTTGTCTGGTCGTCTAGAAGGACATCACAGAACTGTCGATTCGCCAACAGCACATTAGAAAAACATAAGACATAAAGCCAAGAGTCATTGGTCCACAGGATTACAGCTGGGGAATTTAAATGGGTCCTCAAAGGGCTGTGTGGCTGCAGGTTTTCATTTCAACCAAGCAGGAGCACACCAGACTTCACCCATTTCCTCAAGTGAGTCCAGTCTTAACCTGGAGACTTGAGGAAACGGGTGATGTTTGGTGTGCTCTAGCTTGGTTGGAACAAAAACCTGCAGTCACACCAGCCCTTTGAGGACAGAGTTGAATACTCCTGGGATAACGGGTTTACAAATGACCTTAAATATTCATATATGTTCCTAAATGTCTAGAAATGTTGATTCAATGGTCATAAATATCCACAAATGTTGCGGCTCATCTCTGGCTCTAAGACTCTTCTGCCTCGAGTTTTCCCCCAGAATAACAATTATGACACCATCAGCCACCATTTCATTTTAATCTGAGGCAACAAAAGAGAGGATGTGGAAATAAACAGATAACCACACAATCTACACCATAATGGCTCACTCCACACCAAACTATTAATGCGTTACATTTTGGTCAATGACACAAATAAGTCCTGAAATGTCCGCGGCCGTTACCGCTGAATGTTCTCAGACCCACTCTTGTTTTGTCCTCAGCTTATTTGTCCAGTGAAGGGGGCATTAAAAACAGCTCCAAGACGCTGCTTTGGACGTAACAAAAGTGGACACAATTGTTACGTCCAAAATGCCCAGTTTGTTCGCAGTTATTGAATAATATTTTTTTGGCATAATGTAAAATCTATAATTACATACTGATTATAGTTATATCTCCAACCATTAACCATTAAATAGTCTTCTCTGTCCTGTTCATTCTTCCATTCACAAAGCCTCCAACATGACATGTCCTAAATGTCACAAATATGTCCCCAAAGTTCAACAATTTTTTTTGAAAGGCATCCATTTTTCTTGAAATAGATTTTGCTGCCCTTCTGAGATTATACCATGTATATATATAGGCTACATAGTATTAAAAAATGTTTAGGTACAAACATTTTTAGTTCATTCATTTATTTTATTGTCGCTTGTAGTTAGATCGACCCATGGTACAGTTTAGTGTGGAGTGAGCCTAATATCAACTAAAAGAGGCAGAACGCATGTGCAGCTAAAGCCCCTGTGCAGTGACCGGCGTCAGGATACAGCTGCAGTAACTGTGCCAGACGTAATCCACGCATTTGTGTTTGTAGGGCAGAGCAGCTAAGCCAGAAACAAGCAGAAATCGTGTTAGCAATCCGCAGACGACTAATAGGCTGGCGTGAAGCTTCAAGGTGGGAATAACTAAGAAATGAGAAGTTACGTTATTAACACCAATTTATAAGAAACTAGCAAGTTCACTGTGAATCAGCATCAATCAGAATGCGTTTATAAAATGACAGCCCTTGTTTAAATACGTAATAAATCAGCACGTATTATTAATCCATACTAGGGCGAGTATGTTGTGGGATGCTCAGGTTTTTTTGCTGGGAAACTATTTTTTCAGGTTCGGCCTCCTCTTGGCCTAATTTCCTGCCAGCTGTAAAATCTATACACACAAACATTTACAGACTGTATCAAAATAGTTTGTGTAGTGTAGAGGTAGAAACATCGTGTCTATGACTGGTTATTGTTTATAGGGAAGACAACATGTTTATAATTATGTCTTTTGATGAACTATTCCCAAGGTTCAACTGCACCACTGTAAAAATATAGAGATAGAGAATTCAGCCCTTTCTTGAGATGAAAGGCAGGTGTTATAGAGAGAGTAAATACGAATTGAGTGTGATTTATTACCCCTTAGACGCTGTTCATTCAGACTATAATACTAGTTCAATTTGCAATCACAAGCTAATGCCCAAGCCCGTTAGCATGTTAGCATGTTAGCATGTTAGCAAAGCAGGCTAGCTCTTCAGAGGATGCGGTCATTAGAAATCCAAGCGCAGAATGCTAATTACAACATGAACCACAGCAGTGCCCAGCCTTATAACGCCACAGAATGACGTCCGGGGAGAATGTTAAAGCTTATAATTCAATGAAAAATGATGAAATCCTCACCGAATCCTGTGTTTTGTGTCTTTACGCCGGGCGTTGGCAGCTCCGCGCGAGGGGCTTCCCAGTCAGCACAGCAGGGGCAGCGGCTGAACAACGACGTAATTACGCTAATCTATCCCCCCCACGCACGTACACACCGAACACACGCACACAAAATAAACATAAAACCAGCCATATCTTGAAGCGATGTATGGATCTATAAAAAACATATAGCCACACAAACACAATGAATCAATAGTAGTCATTTTATCAAGCATACACAGGTCTCAGGTCCCGTGTGTGTGTGAGTGTGAGAGAGTGTATATGTATATTTCTTATGTGCTCATTGGGTAACAAGGATCATCATGATTTCAATCTTGTCTGCAGCATAAAAAGCTATAGCATCAGTGATATAAAAACTGGGGAAAATGTATTCAAATAGTCAATAGTTAACTTTCTCTTCATAATAAATGCAGAACAAACCATGTCGAAACAACAGTTTGGTGCAACGTTCCACATTTATAATAAACAGGAAGTTTGACCTACATTCCAGAATATCAATGTCATCCTACTGCCACTAGATGGAGGTATAACAAAATGAAAAAGTGAATGGAACAGCAAGTCGTTTCTAAGAAATGAAATTTATTTCCAAAAGTTTACAATGCGAAACACGTTAATGTCACATTTAGATTACGTACAAAACAAAAACTAAAAAACAAAACTTGAAGGCCTCCAGACTCCAGGTTAAGTGGTGGTGACGCTCTGGAGCAGTGTGATGTTGTCGCCTTTCAACATGATCCTGCCTGAAAACGAGAAAACATACTAAGCATTTATACATGAAAGAATTATCTGTAAAGCCCAGTTCAAAAGACAAGACTCAAACACTGCCACATTACTGCACTAGGATGATTGAAGCTATGTATCTGGATCTGAAAAAAGGCCATTACAAAAAGCTATAAGTGTTTCTGCGACTCGGGCGTTTGTAAAACTGTTGATAAACTGAAGCCACAGAACTGACTGCATTTGTTTCTGCGCTGTGCAATTATAACACCGAAGGAGACGATCTGATTTAACATTGAAAACGTTTCTACATAAAATTATCTAAGGCTCATTTTCAAAGTTTTACTAAAATATACATCAAAATATGTGATTAATGATGCAAAGTAGTTGAGATTCACTCAAGTTTAATCAAAGGCCGTAATCGATAGAACACTCAGACTAAAATAACCGTCAGGTGTTGCCCTGGATTGAATTCAACTTTAAAAACATGTTGAAAACTACAAAAAGTCTGAATCTCCCTCGTCTCTGATGTCATCATAGGAGTCAAAGGAAATTAAAGTCTTTAAGTTGCAGCAGAGTTTGGTTCTACTTTAAGAAACTGATGAATAATGTATTTTAACACATACTTATTGAAATGCATTCATCTAAAGCTTACCCAGTGGCTTTCTGTTTTTAGTTTTCATATGGATTTCTTCTGCATCATCAAGAACCAGGTTCATGTACTCATCAAAGCCCTGCAAAAAGAACAAATACACTAAAATCCCAACACAAGACACTTGAAGTGAGCTTCAAACCTGGGACAAAAAAGTTTAGAAACATTCAGTCTTTCCATTACTTAAAATCAATAGCACTGTAATTTGGGGCTCAAGAGCTAGCGAGTGATTAATGTAAGTCGCAGGGTATTTGAGTGTTGGATTCAGTCGACCACAGATATTCTCTAGGTCAGGGTGAGATCACAATCCATGACCCGGATACTTTAGAATTTGTATATGCTTTTATTAAAATCCACAGACTTAGAAAACTATGAAGGCCTTCCCCTATGTGACAATTAGATTTAAAAACATTAGGGCAATGCAAGTTTGGAAAGTATTCAAGATTTCAACACTAGTGACCAACTGTATTACGAAACACAAAAGTCAAATCTGTTATACACTAGTCAAACAATACAAGATACTTATTTATACAAATTAAGCAACAACTTATTTTTGTATTTCCCTAAATCACAACAGCATCATCTCAGACTTAACAAAACCATTGAAAACACCAACACAGATCAGAGAATCAATGGTTTAAGTGACAGTCTGTAACTCTAAATGAATTACAAATGTTAAGAATTGTGGGGACTGTAGCTCAGTTGGTAGAGCATTGGCCTTTGAGCCTGAAGGTCATGGGTTCAATCCCACCATAAGACCTACTTCATGACTCCCACTGATGACTGCTGTCGTTGTGTCCTTGGGCAAGACACTTAACCCCACTTTGCCCAAAGCTCCCACTGAAAGATCTCAGCTCCTGTGGACTCAGCACCTGCAGGAGGATCAGTGAGGGGCTGGTGCTCTGACTGCCACCCCCCGACCCAGAAATGGATTAAGGGGAAGAAGATGGATGGATGGAATCCAAAAATAAAGTCATTTTAAATAAAATAAGTCATTTTATTAATTATAATATTACAGGCAAGTCCCGCCTTCTGTTCTCTTAGCTATAGCTCAGAATCCACGGTGCCGTCGAGGTTAACCAATCGAGTCGTGCCAAGGGCTGTCAATCATCGGTGCTGATGCTCGTAGCTGCTCATGCTCAGTTGTTTGTTTTCGCGGAGCCTCTGAATAAAGCCTCTATTAGGCTCTGAACCTATATCCATAATCATTTATATACTGAACCTATATCCATAATCATTTATATACTGAACCTATATCCATAATCATTTATATATGAACCTATATCCATAATCATTTATATACTGAACCTATATCCATAATCATTTATATATGAACCTATATCCATAATCATTTATATATGAACCTATATCCATAATCATTTATATATGAACCTATATCCATAATCATTTATATACTGAACCTATATCCATAATCATTTATATACTGAACCTATATCCATAATCATTTATATACTGAACCTATATCCATAATCATTTATATACTGAACCTATATCCATAATCATTTATATATGAACCTATATCCATAATCATTTATATACTGAACCTATATCCATAATCATTTATATACTGAACCTATATCCATAATCATTTATATATGAACCTATATCCATAATCAGATCCTCTGCAGTTGTTCCTATAATGTGTAATTCATGATAATAGCTTCATCCAGGTTTGCCACGATCGCTTTTTTTGTGCATTAAAACATTATCTTTTTCATTAAAACGTTGACGAATAATTCTGAAAACCTCCGTGCATGTGTATTAATAATGTATATGTATAACGTGTTCTCTGATTAACATTTAAATGTGTTACGCAAACGTAGGCGTAGACCAATCAGAAAGGAAGGGTGAGGAGCTTGCGTCGTTTTTTTTTCAAATCAAGTACCTCTCTCTCTCTTTTTCTGACAAACTCCAGAAAATCACTTTAAGACACAAAATATACACTTGGTTATTGGTCCATAGGGAGAGACCAATGCCCATGAATGTTGATAAACGTCATACATGTTGTAGAATGTCACCATCTCTATCACCACAGTAAACGACACTGGTAATTGCCAAAACATGATCATACCAAGCTAGTACACAAACAAATTGTGTTGTCAAGAATAGAATTGAGGTTTCCCTTGACTACTGGAGTGTACTTACAATAATGCAACCTTCTATCCGCATGTTCACTTGTTCATAGAGCCAGACCTGGATACGCGAACGCTGCGGAACAGAAATCCACTGTAAGCCACAGACTTCAGAGGCTGCTAACGGTGATACAACACATTCTACTTACATTTTGCAGGTAACGAAAAATTAGATTCTGGTAAAAAGGGTCAAGGAATTTAAACAAGTAGATAAATAGCATACAATAAGAACGTTTCATGAGCACAGGCTGAGAGACCACAGAGAGACTAGAGTGGAGTTTGCATGTTCTCCGTGTCTGCGTTGGTTTCCTCCGGGTGCTCCAGTTTCCCCTACCCCTAAAAACATGCACAATAGGTCTGGCCTGCTCCCATCTCTGTGTGGAGTTGGAGACAAATGCCCACAATGGTAAACCGCTTTGTGACTCTGGTCTGTGAAAGAGTCACAAAGATAAATAAAGATAACTTACTTAGAGAGGGAGATCAGAAAGAGACCAGACAGAGACTAGAGAGAGGGAGATCAGAAAGAGACCAGACAGAGACTAGAGAGAGGGAGATCAGAAAGAGACCAGACAGAGACTAGAGAGAGGGAGATCAGAAAGAGACCAGAGAGAAACTAGAGGCTAGAGACTAAATTGAGACTAGAGATAGACCAGAAAGAGACTAGAGAGACTAGATTGAGACTAGAGACCAGACAGAGACTAGAGAGAGACCAGAGAAAGGCAAGAGAGAGACCAGAAAGCGAGAACAGAGGAGACTATAGGGAGAATGGAGAGAGAGAAGAGAGACCAGATTGAGACTAGAGACCAAAGAGAGACTAGAGGGAGACCAGAAAGAGAAGATACCTCTAAGACCAGAAGCTGTCATTATAGTGCAGGTTTAACACATGTATACGTTTAGCGTGTTTAAAGTGCATAGGTTACATTATAGAAAAGCGTATATGTTGAGTAATACACAGAATGAATGAGTTTAGCGTTAGCATTAGCATTAGCGCCATTGCTAACGCGGTGTTGTTAGCATGTGGAGCTCGCGGAAAGGATACGATGGGCTGCACCATCACCTTCTGCACCTTCTGCCCTTGGCCTCTGTACGCCATCCTCCAAACACCTGAAGCCCCCAATATAACACGAATACACTCGGAGTTTGGACTTCTCTACGGAGCCCTCACGTTGTTTGATCCAATGGCGCCCGGTTTCCTATAAAAGAGCATTTCCGGTTTAGAGAGGTGACCTGAACGACAGCGCCCCCCAGTGGTGTTTGCTGCGAACGACAAGTCTCCTCACTAATATCGTTGGTGTTGTAAACTGTAATAGTAATGAATGATGATGGTGACAATATTAAATATAAATTAATAGATAGTAAATAATAAATAATACTAGTAGTAATAACAATAATAAAATAATAAATTGGTTTAAAAGAAAGTTTTACATTTAGGCACAATATTCCCCCAAAAAAAGATTTAACCTCCATACACAGTGGTGATAAACTAGGTCAGAGCATGCACACACAATTGATCAAGGAATGTCATTCATGTTTAGCAGCTTAATGGCTTTAGGATCATATGAGGCTAAGCTAAATATAAATAATAACAATAATAATAGCAATAACAATAATATAATTAGCTTTTAACAGTTTACATTTATACATGGAGAAGTTTAGATACAGTTGCATCTGGCCTTTACCATAGTTGGCTAAGACGTCCCTCTGATATTAATAGGCTTATACAAAAAACATTTGCTTGTTGTGTACAACATATATCTGTAACATGATGAGCTGAGTCAGAGCGGCCAACCTTGAGTGTGCAGTTAACAATAGTATTAATAACTCATAACAGAGACTTGTCCCAGTCCTGGCCCAGAAAGTGTGGTGGAAATTAGGAGCCGAGGACAGACAGGAGTCCACAAGTGGAGCCCAGAGAACGCACAAGGATCCTCTGTGGGGTCGGTGTCCTCTTACCCCAGGACCGAGGCACATCTCAGAAGCCAGGAGCTGCAGGGGGCTGTCAGGACCACATGGTTCAGCAGCAGGACTCAATACCACACGGCTACATCACATTTTCAATACGCGAGGAGGAAATGGATCACTTCAACCTGTTATAGAAAGATATATAGATAGATACTTTTACGTAAACAGACAAAAGACAGAGCCCCCAAAACAATTTACAATTACTATGTATTTTTGTATAGCCCTAAATCTCAACAGCATCATCTCAGAGACTTAACAAAACCATTGAAATCACCAACACGGATCAGAGAATCAACAGTTACAACACAAAAATATAGAGCACATATAATTAGTTCATAGGGCATTTTTTGTATCTTTATAAATCAAGATAATTTTATTTTTTCCCATCGGCAAATCCTGTTTTAAGGCAGTCACAATGTGCTCAAATTAAGATACATTTAGCCAATTTTGTGCATTTTTTTTTTGCAGTGTTCTGTGTATTGTAAGTCAAGCTTTAGCATTAAATGAGCTTTATCGACTGTCCAAGCGTTTCCACCTCCTGGGACTCCTGCCCAGACTCTGAGATCATCAGAGCAGAGATGAAACCATAAACACTGTCCACACCCAAACAGGAAGTGCAGTCTGACCACTCATTGTGACGGACTATTCTATCTTTCCTCATTTCCACATGTTGCTCTCCTGCTATTTTCTGCCACTGGTCTGGGATCAGTGTGGCCTCCCCCTATGACATCACTTCCTCTGACATCACATCCTCTTCCTGTCGGTGGCTGCAGGTGACGATTGTTCTGGGGGAAGCAGACGGAGGCGGGGGCTGGTTCTTACAGACAGTTCACCTGACTGACCTCCACCTCCACCTGACTGACCTCCACCTCCACCTGACTGACCTCCACCTGACTGACCTCCACCTCCACCTGACTGACCTCCACCTGACTGACCTCCACCTGACTGACCTCCTCCTGACTGACCTCCACCTCCACCTGACTGACCTCCACCTGACTGACCTCCTCCTGACTGACCTCCTCCTGACTGACCTCCACCTCCACCTGACTGACCTCCACCTCCACCTGACTGACCTCCTCCTGACTGACCTCCACCTCCACCTGACTGACCTCCTCCTGACTGACCTCCACCTGACTGACCTCCTCCTGACTGACCTCCTCCTGACTGACCTCCACCTGACTGACCTCCACCTGACTGACCTCCTCCTGACTGACCTCCACCTGACTGACCTCCACCTGACTGACCTCCTCCTGACTGACCTCCTCCTGACTGACCTCCTCCTGACTGACCTCCACCTGCCTGACCTCCACCTGACTGACCTCCACCTGACTGACCTCCACCTCCTCCTGACTGACCTCCACCTGACTGACCTCCTCCTGACTGACCTCCACCTGACTGACCTCCACCTGACTGACCTCCTCCTGACTGACCTCCACCTTACTGACCTCCTCCTGACTGACCTCCTCCTGACTGACCTCCACCTCCTCCTGACTGACCTCCACCTGACTGACCTCCTCCTGACTGACCTCCACCTCCTCCTGACTGACCTCCACCTGACTGACCTCCTCCTGACTGACCTCCACCTGACTGACTGACCTCCACCACCTGAACCTCCTCCTGACTGACCTCCACCTCCACCTGACTGACCTCCTCCTGACTGACCTCCACCTGACTGACCTCCACCTGACTGACCTCCTCCTGACTGACCTCCACCTGACTGACCTCCACCTGACTGACCTCCTCCTGACTGACCTCCTCCTGACTGACCTCCACCTGACTGACCTCCACCTGACTGACCTCCACCTCCTCCTGACTGACCTCCACCTGACTGACCTCCACCTGACTGACCTCCTCCTGACTGACCTCCACCTTACTGACCTCCTCCTGACTGACCTCCTCCTGACTGACCTCCACCTCCTCCTGACTGACCTCCACCTCCTCCTGACTGACCTCCACCTGACTGACCTCCTCCTGACTGACCTCCACCTGACTGACCTCCACCTGACTGACCTCCTCCTGACTGACCTCCACCTGACTGACCTCCACCTCCTCCTGACTGACCTCCACCTGACTGACCTCCTCCTGACTGACCTCCACCTGACTGACCTCCTCCTGACTGACCTCCACCTTACTGACCTCCTCCTGACTGACCTCCACCTGACTGACCTCCACCTCCTCCTGACTGACCTCCACCTCCTCCTTACTGACCTCCTCCTGACTGACCTCCACCTGACTGACCTCCACCTGACTGACCTCCACCTCCTCCTGACTGACCTCCACCTGACTGACCTCCACCTGACTGACCTCCTCCTGACTGACCTCCACCTGACTGACCTCCACCTCCTCCTGACTGACCTCCACCTGACTGACCTCCTCCTGACTGACCTCCACCTGACTGACCTCCACCTTACTGACCTCCTCCTGACTGACCTCCTCCTTACTGACCTCCTCCTGACTGACCTCCACCTCCTCCTGACTGACCTCCACCTGACTGACCTCCTCCTGACTGACCTCCACCTCCTCCTGACTGACCTCCACCTGACTGACCTCCACCTGACTGACCTCCTCCTTACTGACCTCCTCCTGACTGACCTCCACCTCCTCCTTACTGACCTCCACCTGACTGACCTCCACCTGACTGACCTCCACCTGACTGACCTCCTCCTGACTGACCTCCACCTTACTGACCTCCACCTGACTGACCTCCACCTGACTGACCTCCACCTGACTGACTGACCTCTACCTGACTGACCTCCACCTTACTGACCTCCACCTGACTGACCTCCACCTGACTGACCTCCACCTGGCTGCCCTCCACCTGCCTGACCTCCTCCTGACTGACCTCCACCTGACTGACCTCCACCTGACTGACCTCCACCTGACTGACCTCCACCTGGCTGACCTCCACCTGCCTGACCTCCTCCTGACTGACCTCCACCTGATTCTCACACTGCAAAATGTGAAGAGCCATTTCTATTATCAACAGTATTGTCAAAATATTTGAGAAATTAATTTTTATTCAACTTTCAACCTATCTCACCAATAACAACCTATTATCCCAATCTCAATCAGGATTTAGAAAGCATATCAGTACAACTACTGCCCTCCTGAAATTTACAAATGATGTGTTTTCTAGTTTTGACAAAAGTATGTTCACTGGTGCATTATTTCTTGATTTGACGAAAGCTTTTGACTTGGTTGACCATTATTTACTTTTGCACAAACTCCACAGCATTGGCCTCTCCAGACCAGCACTTCTCTGGTTCAACTCCGCCCTTCACTCTCGTCGCCAGTGTGTTTCCTTTGGGGGCAGCCAGTCCAACTTCACAGTCATTGAAAAAGGCATTCCACAAGGCTCCTCACTTGGTCCTCTTCTCTTCTCTATCTTTATTAATGATCTCCCGACTATCTGTTCCAACTGCACTATTGAACTTTATGCTGATGACACTGTTATTTACTGTTCCATTCTAATATCCCTGACATCTGCAACTCTCTACAACACAACTTTGACATTGTTCAACACTGGCTCCTTTCTAACAAACTTCTGCTCAACAAAACCAAATCCTACTCCATGCTTTTCAAGAAGACCAATAAACCTCTCCCCGATTTAAATCTCCACTTTCTAGATCCGTCCCCAGTCAAGTGTGTGGACAACCTTAAGTATCTTGGTCTTTGGCTAGACTCAAATCTTTCTTTCAATACCCATATTCACAAAACTGTACACAAAATTAACTATTCACTGAAAACACTTTATCAATCCATTGACTGCTTTAATTTATCTGCACGGAAAAGGATTATTTCACAACTACTACTTCCCATATTAGAATATGCAGACATAGTTTATCAAAATACCACCTCCACTTTTCTCCATCCCCTGAACACTGCCTACAACAGCCTGTGCAGGTTCATTCTGCGCTGCCCCTACAGGACCCATCACTGTGACATGTACCAGCAGCTGTCCTACAGACAGACCTACACACAGACCTACAGACAGACCTACACACAGACCTACAGACAGGCCTACAGACAGATCTACAGACAGACCTACACACAGACCTACAGACAGACCTACACACAGACCTACAGACAGATCTACACACAGGCCTACAGACAGATCTACAGACAGACCTACACACAGACCTACAGACAGACCTACACACAGACCTACAGACAGGCCTACAGACAGATCTACAGACAGACCTACACACAGACCTACAGACAGACCTACACACAGACCTACAGACAGATCTACACACAGGCCTACAGACAGATCTACAGACAGACCTACACACAGACCTACAGACAGACCTACACACAGACCTACAGACAGGCCTACAGACAGATCTACAGACAGACCTACACACAGACCTACAGACAGGCCTACAGACAGATCTACAGACAGACCTACACACAGACCTACAGACAGACCTACACACAGATCTACAGACAGACCTACAGACAGGCCTACACACAGACCTACAGACAGGCCTACAGACAGATCTACAGACAGACCTACACACAGACCTACAGACAGACCTACAGACAGACCTACAGACAGGCCTACACACAGACCTACAGACAGGCCTACACACAGACCTACAGACAGGCCTACACACAGACCTACAGACAGGCCTACACACAGACCTACAGACAGGCCTACACACAGACCTACAGACAGGCCTACACACAGACCTACAGACAGGCCTACAGACAGATCTACAGACAGACCTACACACAGACCTACAGACAGGCCTACAGACAGATCTATAGACAGACCTACACACAGACCTACAGACAGACCTACAGACAGATCTACAGACAGACCTACAGACAGACCTACACACAGATCTACAGACAGACCTACAGACAGACCTACACACAGACCTACAGACAGACCTACAGACAGGCCTACAGACAGATCTACAGACAGACCTACACACAGACCTACAGACAGACCTACAGACAGACCTACACACAGACCTACAGACAGACCTACAGACAGGCCTACAGACAGATCTACAGACAGACCTACACACAGACCTACAGACAGACCTACAGACAGACCTACAGACAGACCTACAGACAGATCTACAGACAGACCTACACACAGACCTACACACAGACCTACAGACAGACCTACAGACAGGCCTACAGACAGATCTACAGACAGACCTACACACAGACCTACAGACAGACCTACAGACAGACCTACACACAGACCTACAGACAGACCTACAGACAGGCCTACAGACAGATCTACAGACAGACCTACACACAGACCTACAGACAGACCTACAGACAGACCTACAGACAGACCTACAGACAGATCTACAGACAGACCTACACACAGACCTACAGACAGACCTACAGACAGATCTACAGACAGACCTACAGACAGACCTACAGACAGACCTACAGACAGACCTACAGGACCCATCACTGTGACATGTACCAGCAGCTGTCCTGGTTCTCTCTGTCCCAAAGACGTCACTCTCACTGGTTGTTTTTCATTTATAAATGTTATTTTTTGGATTATCCTCTTTATTTAAAGCAATATTTAACCCCTTTTAATTCCTCTTATAATCTTCGTCACACAAACCAGCTTTTCTTTCACACTCCTCGTGTGAAAAAAGAACTTGGCAAATATGCTTTCCAATATAAAGCCCCAAACGACTGGAATCTCCTTCCGGCCTCTATTCGCTCTTTAACTTCTTTTTCTCTTTTTAAAGTTGCTGTACAAAGGCATCTGTGTATTGTTTGTAACTGCTACTGAACTTTCTTTTAAATATTACATTCTTTGGTTTTCACTGTCATAGTTTGAGGAGTAGGGTGACCTCTGACCTCTGAGAGCTCTGTGTGTGTGTGAATGTTTCTGTCCTTGTATTGTTTTTTTGTCTGTTATTTTATTGAATTTATTTACTGTAATTTGTTTGTTATGTTTGTATGTTTTTTATTTGTTACACTTTACTGTAACTGCATTTGTTTGACAACCGCTGCTGCTACTTGTGTTGCTATTTTTGAGGACCCTCCTGAAAACGAGATGATGCATCTCAAGAGGCTATTCCTCGTAATAAAGATATGTTAAACAAAGAAGAGAAATAAGTAAAAAATGGCTTGAATTTAGCAAAATGTGTCTTAATTTGAGCACATTCTAGCTGTAAAGTAGCAAGATGTAAGGGCCCTAATCTGTCATCATTAAAGGGCCCTAATCTGTCATCATTAAAGGGCCCTAATCTGTTGTCATTAAAGGGCCCTAATCTGTCATCATTAAAGGGCACTCATCTGTCATCATTAAAGGGCCCTAATCTGTCATCATTTAAGGGCCCTAATCTGTCGTCATTAAAGAGCCCTAATCAGTCATCATTAAAGGGCCCAAAACTGTCATCATTAAAGGGCCCTATTCTGTTATCATTAAAGGGCACTAATTAATCTGTCATCATTAAAGGGCCCTATTCCGTCATCATTAAAGGGCCCTAATCTGTTGTCATTAAAGGGCCCTAATCTGTCATCGTTAAAGGGACCTAATCTGTCATAATTTAAGGGCCCTAATCTGTCGTCATTAAAGAGCCCTAATCTGTCATTATTAAAGGGCCCTAATCTGTGTCATTAAAGGGCCCTAATCTGTCATCATTAAAGGGCCCTAATCTGTCGTCATTAACGGGCCCTAATCTGTCATCATTAAAGGGCCTTAATCAGTCATCATTAAAGGGCCCTAATCTGTCATAATAACAAACTGCTCTTTTCCAATACTTCTTTAACTGATAACAGTCGTTCAGAGATATTTGAATTTCTAAATTACTTTTTCAACCTTTAAATCTTGTTATTGTTTTCATTTCGATGTCCCGCCCTCCACCGTTTCACCAATCAGAAAGTCTGTGATCCGGGCGCCAGAACTCACCGTGTGGAGCTAATCTCACTGGTAAAGTACCATGTGGCACAGAACTAAAAATGGGCTTGTTTTGTCATTAATGAATTGAGAATAAAACCAGGATTTCTATCTTTGTGAAAAAGGTGTTGGTTATAGATTTGTTGTTGACAAAACTCTTGTCTATTCAGCTGTTATGGAAAATACAAAAGCAACACAACAGTAACACAATACATTATCATATGTAGTATAAGAGAACACACATACACACACACACACACATATACACAAACACACACACACACACACACACACACACACACATACTCGCACACGCAGACAGAGGTGTTGGGTCTTTGTATTGTCTGTGTGTGTCTATGCGTGTGTGTGTGTGCGTGTGTGTGTGTGTGTGTGTGTGCACTTGTTTTCAACTCCTGGTGGGTTCCATAACCTGAGATTCCACTCACGTCATGGGGACTGGTTTTACGTGGTGGGGCCCGAACACCGGACCCCACTGGTCCAAGCTTAATAATCAATGGGTAATGCTTTTCTAACGGTCCTTATGCAGTCTCTGTAAAAATATGGAAAGGACCCCTGGAGGTTTACTTTCCTGAAAAAAGTGTGTTATGTGTCGGAACCCTGGTGGTGGGTTGCGGGATATCAAGGAGGGGCACACTGGGGCAATTTCAGTCCAGCAGGCTGGAGCCAATCATGGAGCAGCACAACAGAGGCTGGAGCCAATCATGGAGCAGCACAACAGAGGAAATCAGGTGTCAGGCTAGAAAAGGTGCAAGTGTGTGGTTCATTAGGCTGCAGCCAATCACAGAGCAGCACACTGAAGCGCACGCTTAAGGGGCGTTCACACCGGACTTAACTTCGGCGTCAAAAGCGTCAGGTTTGCATTGAAAGTGAATGGTGAAGCGCGTCAGGTGAAGCCGAGGGGCCCGGCGTCACTTGGCGCGCGTCAAAAGCTTCAAAGGTCGCGCGTAATACGCGCTCACTTGAAGCTTTTGACGCGCGAAACGCTCGCGTATCAAAACAATCCCTCTGACGCCGAAGTTGAGCAAAGCTGAGCTTTTGAAGCTTTGACGCGGGCTTCAACCAAT